AACGATGTTTGACAGGAAAATTTTATACAGAATTCAGGATATCTGGAGTAATGCAATGCTGTTTTTCTTCGACTTTTAAAGCATTCAGAAAGAATTCTTTTTTTCTCTCTCTCTCTTTCTCTTTCTTTCTCTCTCTCTCTATCTATCTATCTACCTATATTTCTATCCATCTATCGTTCTCTCTCTTATTCTCTCTCTCTCTCTCTCTCTCTCTCTCTCTCTCTCTCTCTCTCTCTCTCTCTCTCTCTCTCTCTCTCTCTCTAGTAATGGTAACAATAATAATAGAATAATAATAGCAATAACAATAAGGATCGTAATAAAGATGCAATAACAATGATAAAGATTATAACAACAATGCCTGGTATGCAGATGCAAGAGAAAGAATAAATAATTGTGATTATTACTGGTATGGCCATTACCTCTATCATTATCTTAATCACTAATATATTCACCATCAGTATTATTATCAATATCATTATTATTATTTTTTTTTTTTTTTGGGGGGGGGGATACGTGCCCATGTGCTGTTAATTCACTGCATGCTATTCTCTAACATACATAATGTACACGATTTTATTTTATCAACATATTAAAAATTCGTAAGGAGAAATTCCATTATACATTCAACCGGCACTGACTTGAACATAGGTCAAAGGATTCCCCGGGACTGTACGCATCCGTGGGGATCCTCCGTCGGCTGCACAGATACGGGCGTACCTATAAACGTACGCAAATGAAGATGATACTTGTACATAAAAAGTTAAATAAATATTTTCGTATTGTTTATATCTCTCATGGAAGTAGTCTATGTGTCGTATAATTTTATTGAATTATGCATGAGCGATCGTCAAAATGAAAGAAAATACTAAAAAAAAAAAAAAAAAGACAAAAACTGCCTTCAACTAGTGTGGCTACAACGGATACATCAATACAGGTTTTGGAATGCGTTAAAAATAAAGAAAACGCTATCTAATACGTAAAGAATAACAAATACTGACATTTTCTATGACCTGCATGAACACACAACAATAAGGAGACAGCAACAGCTGGATGCAAATAATCAGTCACCGGCAACCCCCCTGACTGATACGTAAATGGAGACGGAGATTCCCCTTCTGGGGTCCTGGAGTCATAGGAGGCAGTGATGCTCCAGGAACACAAGGTGAAGGTTCTACACTTCACTGCAACATCCGTAGGGAACAAGGTAAGGCCCACACACGTATAAACTCTCCCAGTGTTCGCCACAAAGCAAATATATGATATATGTATGCGAGAAGAACGTAAAAAAACAGGAAGCAACGGTGGAATCCGAGACCAAAACATGTCTCCCATCCGCCTTGACTGTAATAATTAGTTTGCGAACATGTAACCAGCACGACGAGGAAGTCCTAAAGGATACAGTGAAACCAGTGGACGGGTACTATCACAGGCTAACAAGACAGGCAAACCGTAACAGCCTTCATCAGAAAATGAGATACGGTTTCCTTATTGTGTGCTCAGGTACGTCAGACATTAGTCAGGATATGATGGAGGCGATACCAGTTGTTCTCGCAGTAGGAAAAAATGTATAGTAGTTACACTTGCCTGCGCTTTGACAAATTGTTACCTATTTTCACTTTATTTATTTAGTTTTCCTTTTTTTTAGGACTCTAAATTGAACGAATAAATAAACCCTGTTGGATAGCGTTGTATAATAAAAGAAAAATAACGCAAATAAACTGAAAAAAGTGCAAATATTTGCCTTTTTTGTCTTTCCCATTCGAAGAAAAGAATCCAGGTTTTATATCAGATTACATATTACGCTGTTACACTATCCATTGTTTTTTATCATATCTTTTCTCGTTCTCAAAAAATCCCCACATATACAGGAAGGGAAATCCCAGCTGGTGAGATCTGTAGGGTAATTCCATCCTGTTCAGTACTAAAGTGTGTAACCCTGTAGTCACTGTAGCATGTATAATTTCCTGTTGTTGTAAATCGTTCTACTTATAATCTCTTTATTCGAGGTAATTGCTTGCAAGTATGTTTTGCGTTTGATATTAATGATTATTGTTATTGCTAGGAATGGCAGGAGTGTTAGTTTAGAGAAATGTGATGATAGTTATGATGATGAAAATAAAAATTATATTATCGATGATTATGATTATGTCTACGATGATGATAATGGTGATGATAAAATATTGATGATGGTGATAATGATAACGATGTTTCTAATGATCATTATAATTATAAGCATGATATGGCGATGATGTGAGAATGTTGATGATGGTAGTGAAGATCATGGTATAGTGATGATAAAGAGGATGTTGATGATGATGTTGGTGATGATTATAGGGTGAAGATGATAATGAGAATGTTGTTGATGATGATGATGATGGTAATGGTCATGATATGGTGGTGATAATGAGAATATTGATGATTATGGTAGTGATGATCATGATAATGAGAATGTTGATGATGCTAATGATGAGAATATTGTTGATGATAATGATCATGATAT